TTTATACACCATGTTAGGCTTTGCAATTTCATATCCTGGTGCTTGGATCATATAAATTTCTTCCTCTAACTCAGCATTGAGGAATGCAGTTGTGATATCAAAATGCCAGATTTTATGCTTATATGCCGCTGCCAACGCCAGTGCTAATCTTATACTCTCACTTTTCACAGTTGGCGCAAATACTTCATCGTAGTACACATTCTTTAATTGTGAAAAACCTTGTGCCACTAACCTGGCCTTATATTGTACATCATTATTTGGCAATACCTTTTTCTTATATACCCACTTACAACCCACAGCTTTGGTTCCCTGTGGCAAAGTCACTGATTTAAATACTTCATAGTCTCCCATGGATTTCATCTCTTTATCCATGGCCTCCTTCCATCTTTCTTGTTCAGCTTTTGGTAATGCCAACACCTCTTTATAACTTATTGGCTCATACCACACATTGCAAACCTTTACCTTGCTGGCAGAATACCTGTCAGGCGGAATTCCTTTGTTACATCGCTCTGACCTACGTGGTATTAACTGCTCCTGTGTCTCAAGTCTTTCTGGCTTCATGTCTTGTTCAGCCTCTCCTCCCTGAACATTGACATCTTCTATAATCATTTTTCCATCATTAGATGAGTTATTGTCGTTAAATAGATCACCGTCATTAAGTGAGACATACCCAGAATTTGCATTAATTCTGTCCCAATTTTGTTCAGCAAAATTAGCAGACCTTGAAATTACAACTCTTTTACTTCCATCGCTAAAGCGATATCCTTTTGACCCTGGCTCATAGCCCACAAACCTGAGCTTTCTTGCCTTTTGCTGTCCCTTTCTTCTGATTGCTTTCAGAATATGTACCCGTGCAGTACTTCCAAAAATTCTAAATGTGCCAGTGATGGCTTTCTCCCATATAGAATGGCATATGGAGTATTATTAATGGAGGAACTCCATAGCCTGTTAACTATATAATTGGCAGTCAATATACCTTCTCCCCAATATGACCTGCTCATACCAGAATCCTCTAACAATGAATCTTTCATTGTTTGCAAAACACCATTCCTTCTTTCAGCTACACCATTCTCTGCTGTACGTCTGTGTCTTATCCCCAACTGCCTCAACCATTGTTGGAATTTAGTTGACATAAATTCAGTACCTCTGTCAGTTTGCAACTGACATACTTGTTTTCTGTACCTTCTCTCTACAAAATTTACCCACTGTTTGAATTGTTGTAACACCTCTGTCTTACCTCTAAGCAAGTAGCAAAATGAATACCTGCTATAATCATCAACAATTACCAGTGCATATTTTGCTCCTCCCAAACTGGCTTGCATAGGTCCCACCAGATCTGCATGGACCAGCTCTAGAGCTTTTTTTGTTTGTCTTGTGCTATATTTACTAACTGGGAATGCCTTTGACTTCAATGCTTTGCATACTGCACAGTCCAAATATGTTTTGCATCCCTTCAAATTTAGCCCTTCTGCAAACTCTTGCATTTGCTGCAAAAACTTTAAAGCTTGCATGGCCAAGTCTTCTATGTAGAAGATGAACGCATGAATCATGCTCTGCAACATTCTTAAATATATGGGAACATTGAACCTTTTGTCCCTGCAATACATATAGATTATCTTCCTTTATACCTTCTGCACAAATATTCCCATTCCTTTTGATGAGACACTTCCCACTTACAAAAATAGTCTCAAAACCTTGTTTGTCTAAATTAGACACACTTAACAAATTATGTTCCATCTCAGGTACACAAAGCACATTGGTAAACTTTGATTCCAAATATGGAATTTTTACATCGCCTCTTGCAATGACTTTTGCTTTCTGGCCATTTGCCAAAGCCACACCTTCTTGTGCTACTGGAACAAATCTGCAAAATAATTCAGAGTCATTAACAATCGTTTGACTTGTCCCACTATCTATTAGCCACTTGTCTCTATTGTTGCTATTGCAAACTTTTGCAACACCAAAATGTTCCTTTTGCAAATTAGTCTTCTTTGCATGCACAAAGGTCCTGTTCTGCAAATTGTTCCTCTGCAAACAGTTCCTTTTCAGATGTGTGCTCGCTCCACAAATGTAGCAATTCTTTTCTTGCAAAACTCTCTGTCTGCAAAATCTCTCTTTTGTTGCAATTTGGTCCCATCTGCTCTTTGTTCCTTCTCCTCTGGAGACTTGCAGTCTGGACCCCCTCCTCAGGAATTTCTCCTCCTCGTGGCTACTCCTGAAATTGTGCTTCTCTTCTTCATTAAGCAAACATGCCTTTAAAGCCTCAAAATCTAAGTCTTTCTCTTCTTTACACTCAAATATCGCAGAAACTGTGTCCCAGGTTTTATCTAAACTGTTCAACACCAATAAAACCT